CCTGCTCTGGTGGGAGGCTGGCCCAGGGACCCTGGTGTCTCTTGGGAGCCCAGTTCCTACCTCCTCAGCCGCTTCCTCTTCCACTTTGGCCGGCTCATCCTCCTGTTGCGGGGCAGGCTGCTTCAGTTCCTCCTGTGGGCAGCAAAGGGAATGTGGGATTATATGGGGGCACTGAGCCTCCAGCTGCTCCAAAACTGTGGCCTCATCTACCTTGGCCTCAAAGGTGAGCCAAGGCGCTCATCACCTTGTTGCACACGATAGGCCAAGGTGAGTGAGGTGTGAGGGCCGGACTGACTGTGGGAGTGACAATCACCTAAGAGCCCACAGTAAGGGTTCTGACTGATGGTGCCGAGGTATCTTGGAGCCCAGCTTTACCTCAGCAAGCTGATGCTGAATCTCTGTGCAGCCCATGGTTGGACCTCGATGAGGAAACCTGGTGGGGTGGGGCAGGGGCATGTGGGCAGTGGCCCCTGAAGTCCTAAGCTTGATCCCACCATCAGTGTCCCTGAATCACTTGATCACACACCCTTGTCCTGAGTCGCCAGAAAAGCCTAGGAGAGGGACATATCACACCGAGACCCTGAGGCCAGGGAAACCAGGTATCTAGCTTGAGGTCTGAGAGTTCAAAGCAGTGGGGCTTGTAGGGATCAGGTCTGGCTTGCTCCAGGCCCACCCCGTCCCCAGGAACATGAATGCCTCTTTCTTTCTCCCCACCTCCTGGATGGGCTGGCTCTAGGCTCAGGCTATCTGGTTGGGGCCAGCAGGGGTTATACTGTCCTCTCCTACTTCCTGTCTCTACCCTCCTATATCCAGCGGGACACTTGCCTGAGATGGAGGCCTGCCTAGAAGTGACTGTGCGACAGCTGGTGGGCAGGGCCAGACTGGGTGATCAGCCCCTACTTCTGGAGGGTCTGTCACCTGTGTCACCAGTTCACTGGGTGGTGATTTGGGACTGTCCTTGGGTGGCCACTTCTACACTAGGGTCTGGGGTGCTCCATGGTCTCGCTAGCCCTCCTCCAAGGTCAGAAAAAAGTGCCCAAGCAGCCTGGCCCTACCCCAGGACCTCTTTTGGTGGTAGTATGGGAGGGAGGGCTTTGGCATGTCCTGGAGCATATATGGGTCCTGCCCAGAGGCACTGATGATAATGATAATGATAATGATAATGATAATGATAATGATAATGATAATGATATAGTCACCTGCCTTTCTTGGGTGCTCACCAACAGCCAGTCCTAACTGCTCTGTGGGAGCCATTTCCCTGCATCATCACACAGCCCAGTACTCTCACCTCCTTCCCATTTAAAAAAACAAGGAAGGAGAGGTCCAGAGAGGTTGAGTAGTCAGCCTCCCAAGGTCAAAGAGCAGTAAGTGGCAGAGCTGGGAACTAGGAGAAGGAGCAGCTACCTCTCCAAGGACTTGGAGACCCTGTGCTGGTCTTGGAAGGAGACACTTAGGTGCTTCCCCCAGAGCCGTGGGTGGGGGGAGGGCAGGGTTGCCTCTCCCCTGCCACTCACCCACACCTAGAGCAGGGATTCTGAGTGCTGGGTGCCCTGGGCAGCTTATACCAGGTAGGGGAGCTTTCTAGAGCATGGCCTCAGACACAGCTGGAGACAGCCCCTCTGAACTGGGAATGCCTCCTGCCCCAGTGTGGACCCTGCTCCCACTGCGAACTTGCACTCGTACAGTGGCTGTCTGTCAGAACACAGGCTTGGAGCCCAGCTGCCCTGGGATTTGCAGGCTCACACAGATTAGCCATGGGACTATGGGTACAATACTTAGTCTCTCTGGGCCTCATTTTCACACCCTGTCTCAAGAGTTGTGCCAATTAAATGAGTTAATAAGTGTAAAATACTTCAAGCAGAGCCTGCTCTGTTCTGGGTGCTAGAACACTTCACCCCACCAGCCTTTACCTCCTGGGAGTACCCCATTGCTCCTCCTGTGCTCTCTGCTGCCGGGCAGCACACGCACGTGCACACACACCCTTTCACACTCAGGTGCACGCTGAACACACAGCTACAAAGGCTGAGGAGAAGGGTGGGGTCAGTTTCAGTTTACCATCACTTTGGGGGTGCTGCTTTCCAGATTCTCCTGGGAGGAGGCAGCTGCCCACCAGGCAGCTGGGGAGAGTCTGGTCACTGGGCTGGTGGTGACTCCCCAGTGTCCACTTCCTAGGTTGCTGCTGGCTGTCACCATGTGGGACCCACAGGACCCTGCTTTCATTAGTCAAACATGGTATATTCTAAATGCTGAGCAAGAGGGTGTGGCTTTGAGACATTTTCCTGTTGGCCCTCAAACTGCCCCCGTGGAGGGTGGCTGTGAGGATTCTACATGAGTGGGTGTGAAAACACCAAACACAGGTCATGGGAACCCCGTAAGTCTCCATTTTCTTGTGTGTCAGTGGGATGATAATGCCTCTTCCTCCGCTGGCCGCTCCGTATGGGCTCCACAGGGCACTGAGTCTGGGGCTCATTTCCCCAATCCCACCCTTTTCCTCTGAGTAGGGACCCAGGGGAAAAGATGGGACTGGTCTGAGAATCAGGGCTAGGGAGCAGGTCTTACCTTGGCTGCCACTCCCGAGATGATCGCAATATTTTCTGCCTCCTCCACAGTCTTGGCAGCCACTGTGTTGACACTGCTGACCACTGCCTCGCTCACGGCATTGGCCTGCTCCTTGGTCTTCTCAGCCACTGTAGGAAGACTTTGGCTGGCTTCGTCCCTGACCCCACCCTACCTCGGCCTGGCCTACCTAAGTCAGGCCTGAGCATCCCTTCCCCAAGGCACACAAACCTCTGGCTCTAACAGAGAGTCTGCGCTGCCTCCTTTTTGGCTCCAGGGAAGCTTCGATGATTATGAGGCCAACCCTGGGTCTAGCCTCAGGTTCTGATGAGTCTGGGTACAAGTACAGCTTGGGATCCCAGTTGGGAAGTAAGGAGGATCCTGAGCTTGGGTCTTTAGTATCAGGGTGCAGAAGTCCCTGGAGGTCCCAACCCATACATCCCTTGGTCTTGGGGCTCCTCACCTGAGGTCACACTCTGCACAACACCCTCCTTGGTCTTGGCTCCTGGGGAGAAAATGCAGAAATCAGCCCAGACCCAACTCCCTGGGAGTGGAGTTGTCAGGGCAACAGAACAGCTGGACAAGCTGTGGGGTCAGCAGTGAGTAAGGATGGTGTCTGGAGACCCGGAGTCCCTTCAAAGGCTGCTGCCTGCCATGTTGAGGAAGAGGGCAGATGGGAAGTAGACAGGGCAGGACGGAGGGATGAGAGGTGGGGTCTGGACCTTGCCTGGGCGTGGCCTGGGCCTCAGAAGCTGCAGCGACAGTGCTGCTGAGGAGAGCTGAGTCATCAGCTTTGCCTCCTCTTCTGAGAGAGCTGAGGGCGGGTGGGGCTGGATAGGACAAAGAGTCTGGGTCTCATCTTCCCAGTCCTACCCTTTCCCTCTGAGTAGGGTGGAGACCTGTGGCCTGGTTGCTGAGTATCTGCCAGCTCACCTGCCTGCAGGATCTCTGGGCTCAGTGTGGCTTCTTATCTGAGTCAAGGAGCCTGTGGGTGATGGGGGAGCAGGGCGAGCTTGTGCAAGCTTTTGCGTCTGCACAAACAGGTGTGTCTCAGAGCCAAGCACCCCTTTTGCTGCCCTGTCCTAGAGACTCCTGGGGCCCTGAGAAGGTCCGAACAGGCACTGATGCATGCAGAAAGGTGTCGTGTGCCCGGATACCCCGACTCAACAGCCAGGTCCTCATCCCCTCCCAAAATGTCACTCTGGGGCTGGGAGATAAGGTCAGACCCAAAGTAACTGGCCATCCCAGGCTCCAGCCACCAAGCTGCTCTGCTCTGCCCCGCCCAAACTCACCCACATACATAACACCCTCCTTGGTCTTCTCAGCGGCTTCTGTCACCCCCTGCTTGGTCTTCTCCACAGCGCCCACTACACCCTCCTTGGCAATGGAGAAGCCCTTCTTGAAGACATCCATGGTGGTGGTAGGAACAGGAGCCCAACTCTCCTTGCAAGCTGTGGCTGGTGCTGGCACAAGTGCTGCTGCAGCCGCTGTCCCCGCTGCTGCCTCTTATTGACTCGCCAATGAAATATTGATGATGCAGCGGCTGGCCTGCTGAAGCCCAGCCAGTCTGAGGGGCGGGAATTCGAAGGAGGGAGGGAGAGAGGGAGGTGGAAGACTGCCAGCAGGGTCCAGATACCCTGGGCTCCTGATGGCTTAACTCTCCCTTCCTGCCTGCTGCCTTCCCCAGAGGGGCTGCAGAGGTCTGGACACACCCTTATCCATCACTGCCTCTCATTCATTTACTGCCTTACCCACCCACAGAAGGGGCCCTGGCCAGGTGCTCTCAGGCCTGGGGCTGTTGTGTCTGTGGACATCTAGGGCATGAAGGGAGGAGGCTTTGCTACCAGAATCCAGGTAGGGTAGGGGGCAGGGCTGCACAGGCCTGTCAGGCAAGAGTGGCCAACCTCCCATGCCAGCCCAGGCTGCCTAGCCACTCACTGTGGAAACCCTGTCCTGGGGCTGTGGTGAGATGAAGTGCAGGAGCTAAGACGGGCCCACAGAGGTTTCCCCATGCCATGGCCTCTGGTAATACATGGTATGGCCCTTAGACGGCTCCTGTCCCCCTCTGAAACTCTCCTCCACCTGCTGGCTCCCATAGCCCAACAGTGACAGGCACTAAGCAGGAATGAAGCACCCCCCACTTCCTGGCCACCAGCACGGATTTGGACCAGTCTCCCTGAGACTCACTAACTGCTTCTTACAGCCCCACCTCAACCTTTCTGCTCTTCTCCTCACTCACATGGGGACGTGTTCAGTGGGGCCACTTCCTTAGGCCTCCCAAATTCCCAGGGTTTGTGACCCAAGTTCTCTCAGGGCACAGGAATGGGCTGGGTTGTTAGCTGCCACTGTGTGTGTGTGTGTGGGGGGGGGGGTGGGCTGGACCAGAAGCACCGGTTGGGCTGGCCTAGGCCACTTCCTCTCTTTGTTGTCCCCAGCTTTCTTTTTCTTCTGAGACTTCACTTGAAGCATTTCTGGAATCACTGGCAGAAGCTGAGCCTGACCACTGCCAAAATGATCCTGACACTGCTGCTTAGCCTTGGGGGGGCCCTAGGCTGGGGGCTGCTGGGGGCCCAGGCCCAGGCCCCTGGTACCACGTTCCCTGATCCACACAGCCCCAGGCAGCCTGGGATCTGGAGGGCAGAGGCTGAGGACATCGACAGGGACCCCATCAGACGGTAAGGAGGGGCCTGAGCAATAGGGGAGGCCATGGGGCAAGATCCGAGCCGCAGCTTAGCCAGAGTTGGGTTCTCTGGATCTCAGTTACTCATCTGTGAAATGGGCTAATGTTATTTATAAGCTGGGCAGTTGTGAGGCTGAATGAGTTCCTGGGTACCACAGGAAATTCCCTGTCAGACCCGTGTCAGGGGTTGAGCCTGGGGGTTGGGCAGCGCAGGAGCACTCCTTGCCATCAACCACCCTGCACAGGGTATGGAGGAGCTGTGGTTCCAGAAGTTTCCAGCTGACCTGGAAGTGGCTCCTGTTCTTGGAAGTAAGTCATTTCTGAAAGATGAGCAAGGTGTGGCTGGCCTGTGAGCCACAAAGGACAGATGCTCCAGGGGACAGGATTTTGATCTGAGTATCCAGGGGACTGGTGTTGGTTCTCAGCCTGGCCCTCAGAGCAAGCAGCGATCAGAAAGGGTGCCCTACCCTACCACAGAACAAAAAGGCAGTGTGGCATCCAGTCAGCTCTGCTTCAGTACCCTGCTGGGAGTGAGTGTAGTGGTTTTGCCATTGGACAGGACACTATTTTCCAGCACTTTGTTTGTCCAGGGCCAGGGATCCTCCTGCTGATAAGGTACTGAATGGATGAGTCCCTCCTGAGGGCAACCCACAGCCCACAGCAGGTGCTATCTACTGGTCAGCCGCCTTGCCAAGTGTTATCTCAGTTAAACCTCCCAACACCCCCATTACAGAAAAAGAGCCTGAGGCTCAGAGAGGCTAAGCAGCTGGTCCAAGGTCACACAGCTAAGGGGAACATAAACCAGGATCTGAGCCGGACTCCAGAGTTCATGTTCTGACCCCTGGAGTACTCAAAGGCAGCTCTGGTCTCAGATGTGCTTACTCCCCCACTCACTGACTGCTCCACCTGGCTCCCCTGCCCCAACTTGATTGAGAACATCTGTATGGATTTTGAGGGTAAGAAGGACCATCTCACACCTGCACAGTCTCCCATCTGGCTGCCAGAGATTCACCATTGCATTGGCTTACACAGCCATGACTCTTCAAGGTAAATGTATTTGTTGGACACTGTTCTGATAGCAGATTTGACTAGGGAGAGACAGAGGGTAAATGTAAGCAACTGCACACTGACCCTAAGTGAGGGAAGGGCTGGCCACATGGGGAGGAGTGGCCCCAGGGTGGACCAGAGAGGCCCCATTCCTGTCCTGCCCCTAGTTCTGCTCAGGGCTGGGAGGCACAGGGCACTCTCCATGAGCCACCTGGGTCTGATTTCAGGACTAGACTTTTTCTCCTCAAAGCCATTTGTTCCATGCCCCTGTCTCTGGGCCTCCTATTCCCTTTGATGCAAGGGAGGATGAGGGGCCCAACTGGATGGGAAGGATAGTAGGAGACGTTCCTCTTTATTCCCAACTTCTGGGCTGTGGGATGGTTTGCATTCCCTTAGTGCAGGGACCGTGGGCCTCTGGACTGCCATGGGCTGCCCTGTGGGAGTCACCCAGCCATCGTCTGGGTGGCCCTGGTGTGTGCAGGGCATGTGATGGTGCACACAAGTGTCCCTTGGCCCAGGAATTCCCAGGCCAGCATGTCAGCCCTAGTCTCAGGGGCCTCCTAGGGGTCCAGACCTGCTGGATCTCCTTCCCACAACCCAGAAGCTTCAGTTCCCACCAGCCAAGCCCAGGTTGTCAAGGCCTCCAGAGGGGCTGGTTAGAAAGGAAGGAAATGCTGCACAGCTTCCTCAGGCTTTATTGCTTCCCATGCTCCTGTGGAGGGAGAGGCAGAGACACTGCTCCAGCTTCCCTCTGCAACAGGGGAGGAGGAGGTCAAATAGGCATTCTTCACTCAAGCTGGGGCACCGACACCATCGACCACAGGCCTGGTGGACCCACCATCCTTGACTGCCAGAGCCAGGCTGCCTGTCCTGCATTTGGTCCTCACGCTGGTTTGGGGCCATAGCAAGCCCTGATCACAGACCCAGATGAGACACTTTGCAAGTAGAAGGTCGAACGTGTCAACGTAAGAAGTGTCCAAACTGGAAGCAAAACCTCAATGGATTGAAAAGATGCTCTGAAGAATGGCAATTTTACAGCTTATTTTATACATTAGAATCAAAGAAGGAGGCCCTGGCAGAGTAGCTTAGTTGGTTAGAGCTTTGTTCCCGTGTGCCAAGGTTTCGGGTTTGATCCTGGTCAGGGCACATACAAGAATCAACCAATGAATGCATAAGTGAGTAGAACAACAAATCTCTGTCTGTCCGTCTCTCTCTCTCCAAATCAATCAATAGCCTTGACTGGTGTTGTTCAGTGGGTTGGGCATCATCCCACAAACTGAAAGGTGGCTGGTTTGATTCCCAGTCAGGACACATGTTTGGGTTGCAGCCCAGGTCCCCTGCTGGGAGTATGACAGAAGCAACCGATCAATGTTTCTCTCCCTTTCTTCCTCTTTTCCCCTCTAGAAATAAATAAAATCTTAAAAATCAATAAATAAAAGAAGAAAATAGAATTAAAAATGAGATTAAGGAGTTACATGAAATTCATTGGGGGTAGATTGAGGGGGTGGGAGAAAGCAAAGGGAAATCTCTGGGATTGGATAAAGAGTAAAGAGAGACACATAATCTTCTACATTAGTGGGTACAGGACAGTTACCATTGAACATCTATACTGGACAGAGATGATATTTGGGGGAATAAGATAACAATGAGGGGCTCTGTGGCCTCATGCTCTGGGTGGGCAATTGATCCCCAAGGGGTCCGGAAAAAGAGATGACTCTGACATTCCAAAGGTGTGTTAAGATTGACGTTTGTCAGGGAAGCTACAGATCTGGGATGTAAATACACACCATGACACGATTCTGGTTAGGAATTTATGTGTTCAGACCATCCTATATGGTAATTTCATGCCTCCGAGTTTGTAAGGCATCATGCAGGACTCCCCAGAGCTTGTCAAGTTTAGTATGTGACCCCTTTTTTACCCATAAACAGAACAGCCTGGGACCCAATGCCAGGTCCTGGGGTGGAAGAGGGATGTGGTTGAGTGCTTCCTCGGTCCCCAAAAGGCAGGGACCAGTGAGCTGCAACAGGGGTATTGGACTCCTTGTAAGAAGAGGCTCTTTTCGTGCTCCCTGGTTTTGCTGGGATTGGGGAGAGTAGCAGTTTAGGATGTGACCTCCTCAGAGGAAGGACTGAGTCTGTGGGGAAAAACACTGAGCCCCAGGCAACCTTGCCTGGGCATGGGTGCCCCATGTCCACACTGTCGTGACAGCGCTTCAGTCACCACTATTTTTTCCACTTTACATGTTGTGAGGCTTGGTGGGGAGGGAGCTTGCAACATAGGATCACATAGCTCCTAAGAGACAGATCAGAGTTCAGACCACATCGGCTGGGCTGCAAATCCCAGGTGACCTCTGTCCAAGATTATCTCTCCCAAGATGGGTGGTAGTGTAGAAGATGCTACTTCCAGCATTCAGCCTCCCCTCAGGCCCCAGCATCAACTTCTCCTTACCCATGCTCAAGTGGCATTTGTGATTTTTGCAGCTGGACCCAGGAAAATCATGCATGTCACTGGGGGTCACGCAGGATCAGGATGGAGCCCAGACCTGTGGCTGTATCTCCTGCACCCATTTCTGCTGTCTGAGACACAGGGCCCTGGGCACAAACAGGGAAGAGCCCCACTAGCCAGTGTAATCCTCAGAAACCCTGGCTCTGGGCTGGGAGTCAAGTGGGCCTCAGGCTCCTCTGCCAAAGACCATTGCTAGATCAAGAACAAAAGCCTGAGAAATTCACCCCTGCAGTGGTCACATTCCTGGCTGTTTTCAGGACCTTTGAAAGCAAGGATGCAGAGAATACACCCTTCTTCTTTAGGAAGACTTCAGGGGCAGCTGGAGGTGGTTTTACTGGCTGCTTAAGAGGCACTTAAGTGTCCCAGGGGTCAGTGGCAGCAGCACATCCATAATTCAGGAGGTTCTATCAGCCCTTTCCCTGTGAGAGGTTCTCTGCCTTCTCTATGGCCTTGCCATGTCCTCCCAAGGAGAGACCGGAAGTGGGAATTTTCTCCACCTTTCCAGAATTAGTCAGGAAAGGGTAGGTGTGACTTGCTCAAATACCAACCCAAGAATAGGGAGGCAGAGGAGAGGAGAGCCCAGACCACCCAGCTCCCATTAGAGGCTCTAAGGGGGTCAGCTACCTCTTTCCTGCCTGAAACTGGGCATCAGGTCAGGGCCGAGTTGGAGGCCCAGGCCAGGCGTAAACATGGCTGGAGGACCCCTGCACTCATTTCTGGGTTGGTGCCTCCCTCTCAGTGGACCACTGGGCGAGGAGGGTGCAGAGAGGGCACTCCTGAAACCAGGAGACAGTGAGAACAATGGGGCACCTTAGGGAGCTGGGCCTGGAGGGAGGGCAGGGGTGGGGAGTTGGAACTCAGCCAGCAAGAAGCTGCCAAGAGCTTGAGGAAACCAAAGCAAAGGTCAGGAATGTTCCCAGGGCTTCTGGGCCAGAGCCTGTACTGTGCCAAGGGGATGGGGTTGCCAAGGGAGGGGGAGTGTGCACAGGGAGAATGGCACTGCTGGAACCCGAGATTCAGGCAGGTCAGGAGAGAGTTCCTGGCAGGAAGGGTGGGTGCCAACGCTTCCAGTTCAGGAGTTCCAGGTGGAAAGTCCCAGTCACTCCTGGCAGGCTGGACTCAACCCAGCATTTCCAGGACCCAGGCTTCCTGGACCCTCTGAAACAGTTCAGAGGATGTGCAAGGAGTGAACTTTGTTTTAAGTATTTCTCAACCTTGAACCTATTGACATTTGGGACTAGCTGACTCTGTTGTGGTGATGCAGGGCTGTGCTGTGTGCTCTGGAGGGTGTTGAGCATCGTCCTTAGTCTCCACCCACTAGATGCTGTTAGCACCCCCACCCTCCTAGCTACGACAACCATAAATGTCTCCAGAAGTTGCAAAATACATCTGTGGGAAGCCCTCTCTTCCCAGTTGAAAACCACTGGTTCAGATAAAGAGTT